GAAAATACAGAAGGAAGACATAGAAGGTAAGAAATAGGGACGGGTTAACAGGCACCTTTGGGAGATCATGGTAGACTCTACGGGAGTTGGTTGTCGATCCCTGTGTTGGGGAGAGGGAAGGACTAAGTTGAGAATGACTGGCACAGCTCTCTGGGGGCCATGCACTGAGCTCAGCAGGGAAAACTAGCATTCAGGCAGATAGGCAGAGAGGAATTCACTTTTGGATACAGTGTGGCTGTGGGATCAGCTGGTAGTGATCAGTCCTGTGCAGCCTAGGAAGTCAGTCAGGGCTAGACCAGCAGACCTTGGCTGGGTGGGAAGAGCATAGCCCTAGAGTCAGACAGGAATTGGCATTTCTAGTTCTGCTGCTTTGACTGAACATGGGGCCTTGGGCAAGTTCCTTGATTCCCTACATAGTTTGTGGTGCTGGTTTTGTTTTTGGTTTTATTTTCTTCAAGTTTGTTTCTCAGGAGAGATGGGAGGGCACCCTCCATAGGATCTTGCCATACCGTGATCCCTCTCCCAGGCCTTTCAGCTTAGCCAGGATTGCAGGTACACCCAGTATGCTCAGGTCAACCTGAAATCTAAACCTAAGCCTCCCTAGGCTCTAGTGTCAGCTCCAGTTGCTAGACCCCTAAGTGGGTTTTGTTGAGTATAAACTAGAAATAATACCTGCCCTGGTAAGTTGTTGCTCCAGTGAACTGATAAAATGTATGCAGAGTACCCAGTGCTGTGATTAGTGCCTAGGAGGTGCTAATATTGCCAAAGCTTTTGTTCTAGTAGACATGCTGGACAGAGTAGTAGACATAGAATCAAATGGATACAGTAAGTCAGAGACTTGTTTTTATTTTTGGTAGCATTTAAATTATATATTCTACCCTTTCAGTAGCATCCTCAGCCTGATAAGGACCAAGTATGAGAGAAGTCTGTCAGTAAATGCATGCAGCATTCCCTGTTGTTGAGAAGAGGCCCTATAAAACAAGCTTGGAGAGAGAGCTTTCCTTTTGGACTGTGGATGGAAGGATCAGGGACTGTACCCTAGGAATGGGTTTGAGTAGTATGTTTGCATTTAGGAGAGGAGGGAAGTGATACTGCCTGAGCTTTGGGAGACCCATTCGCAGCATTACAAGTTCCTCTTCAAACACTTCTAATTTTCCCCCTTTTTGTCCCTTCCATGTTACTTGCCCTGCACCACAGATTTTGATGCAAACAATATCTTCAAGGCATTCTTCGGTGGTCCTGGGGGCTTCAGCTTTGAAGGTGCGTATGCCTGCTCTTCTTGGGAGGTTCCCAGATCAAAAGCTGACACTGAGTCCCCACTGTGTAGGTAGGATGAAGGGCCCCAGACACACGGCTTTGGGACCATGAGCATGCATCTCTGCAGAGTCAGGGAGGTGGGTCTCTAAACTGCCCAACACCGGGGCTTCTCTGCCTGCACTACACACACATAACATGCTCCCTTGTGCTCCCTAAAGCCCAGGCTGTTTGATATCTTTAGTTTCTTTGTGCTTGAGGTTGAAGCAGCCTGTGAAGGCTTTTCCGTCATCAGAGTAAAGTGACCTTCCCTAGAAAACTCAGAGCCAGCTAACAAGCCCTCCTTTTCCCTTTCAGCATCTGGTCCAGGGAATTTCTTTTTTCAGTTTGGCTAATGAAGGGCAACCACCAGAACCCAGAAAATGCAGACTCTCTCAGTTTAATCTTGAATGCGGACACAGTTCTCCTCCCTTCATCATGTCTCCACGTACTTAGAACAGTTCCGTTTTCTCAGTTGGATACCCCGTGTCTGTGTGATAAAATGTATGCAGAGTACCCAGTGCTGTGATTAGTGCCTAGGAGGTGCTAATATTGCCAAAGCTTTTGTTCTAGTAGACATGCTGGACAGAGTAGTAGACATAGAATCAAATGGATACAGTAAGTCAGAGACTTGTTTTTATTTTTGGTAGCATTTAAATTATATATTCTACCCTTTCAGTAGCATCCTCAGCCTGATAAGGACCAAGTATGAGAGAAGTCTGTCAGTAAATGCATGCAGCATTCCCTGTTGTTGAGAAGAGGCCCTATAAAACAAGCTTGGAGAGAGAGCTTTCCTTTTGGACTGTGGATGGAAGGATCAGGGACTGTACCCTAGGAATGGGTTTGAGTAGTATGTTTGCATTTAGGAGAGGAGGGAAGTGATACTGCCTGAGCTTTGGGAGACCCATTCGCAGCATTACAAGTTCCTCTTCAAACACTTCTAATTTTCCCCCTTTTTGTCCCTTCCATGTTACTTGCCCTGCACCACAGATTTTGATGCAAACAATATCTTCAAGGCATTCTTCGGTGGTCCTGGGGGCTTCAGCTTTGAAGGTGCGTATGCCTGCTCTTCTTGGGAGGTTCCCAGATCAAAAGCTGACACTGAGTCCCCACTGTGTAGGTAGGATGAAGGGCCCCAGACACACGGCTTTGGGACCATGAGCATGCATCTCTGCAGAGTCAGGGAGGTGGGTCTCTAAACTGCCCAACACCGGGGCTTCTCTGCCTGCACTACACACACATAACATGCTCCCTTGTGCTCCCTAAAGCCCAGGCTGTTTGATATCTTTAGTTTCTTTGTGCTTGAGGTTGAAGCAGCCTGTGAAGGCTTTTCCGTCATCAGAGTAAAGTGACCTTCCCTAGAAAACTCAGAGCCAGCTAACAAGCCCTCCTTTTCCCTTTCAGCATCTGGTCCAGGGAATTTCTTTTTTCAGTTTGGCTAATGAAGGGCAACCACCAGAACCCAGAAAATGCAGACTCTCTCAGTTTAATCTTGAATGCGGACACAGTTCTCCTCCCTTCATCATGTCTCCACGTACTTAGAACAGTTCCGTTTTCTCAGTTGGATACCCCGTGTCTGTGTGAGTGGGTGAAGGAAAGGGAGCCAGCACCGAAGACGGCGGGTAGGGGAGGGAGGCGGGTGGTGGACAGGGAGGCAGCTTGTGAAGTTTTGTTTTACTGTTTAACTTTATTAAAAAAGAACAAAAGAATAAAATGTTTGACCCTTTCTGGCCCTTTGCTCTGGTGGCTGCTTTGTGTCACTCGAGTCAGTGGGCCAGAGCCAAGCTCCCAGCCTGGACCTGATCCTGACATGGACTTGAGGTTCAATAAGCTGCCACACGGAGGTGTGGGCAGCTGGGCCTGGCAGCAGGTGGGTGCTAAGCCTACCCTGTGTTCAGAAAGCATGTTTGGGGCTGGCTCCCACATGGCTAACCACACAATTCAAATCCTAGACCCAGCAGCTTGAAAAATATGGCGGGCGTGTGAATGAGGGTGCCCAGTATTGTGACAGATGGAGAAATGGAGGGGGGGAAGGTTTACAGTGTGACCACACCCTATTTGAGGGGTGCTTTCTCCTCCTCCTCTTGCTTCTTTCTGGCCAGCACATACCCCCTCTGACAAATTTTTAAAAAGCAAGCAAGCAGGCTCTGGAGCCAGCTGGTAGCGTGGTGGTTGAGGCAACTGGATCCCACATGACTGGCTATGTGGTTTGAGCCACCCCCAGACCAGATGGCTTGAAAAACACGCTGGGCGTATGTGCGTACCTGTCTGCCCAACCCAGAATCTCAAAAGGAAGAGAAATGGAGAAGGGATTATAGGATGAGCATCCTTCACTGGGGGTACTTTTTTGTTTTCTCTCCCCCCACCAAGTACACAAATTGTCTGGCAAATTGAACAAACAAAACATCGTTTTCCAGTGAGGTCCACCATAAACTACTAGACACACACAAGCATAGGCATGTGATAATTTAGATGGGTGTTTTTAAAATTATTAATTATTTATTGTTATTTTTTTTTAATTCACCAGAGAGGGAGGGAGAGAGAGAGAAAGTGAGAAAGCAGGCTGCCAGGTTTAGGACTCAAACCATGGTCGGCCATGTGGGAATCCAATGTCTTAACCATCATGCCACTTACTGGCCCCAAGATGGATGGTTTATGCAGGTTCTCACAGTTTTTTTTGCCAGCGCAAGCTCAAGAGATGTGAAGATGAGGAAAAAGTCCTGTCTTCTGGCCCCAGACCCTTTCAAAATGGGATGGGTATTTGCAGAGCTTGGGTGTGGTCTCTGCTGTGAGGCTTACACAGTTGGAGACTCCATTCTCAGCACAGGCTCGTGGCTGTCTCCACCACCTTCCCTTCCTGTGAAAGGAAGTAGCGATGCAGGTCATACTGAGGAGGGTAGAATTTTAGTGCTGAGCCAGCAGGTGGCATGGAGATTAAGGGACTGGATCTCACATGGCCAGCTGCTTGGGTTCTGGACCTGGTGGCTTGAAAATCACCCTGGGCATGTGTGCATGCATGCCCCAAATCCCTAGATACTGGAGATGGTATTGCAGCAAGGCCATCCCTACTGAGGGGTGATTTTTCACTATCGCTCTCTCTGGCAAGCATATGCACCCAGTAGCAAAAAACAAGAAAGAAATGTTGGTGCTTCGGTTGTAAAGGTGGCCTGGGAAAGGCCTTGAACCAGAAGAGTACTTAGGACTCCTTTCCACCCTTTTGCTTCCTGCCTTCCCTGTGCTATCAGGCCATAGTGTGATACGGATAGAGTTGGCCTGGCAAGGACTCACTCTTGCATGTTGGGTTTTTGCTGTGTGAAAGGCACAGACTTGAAGGTGGACCTTCTCTGAGGCTGAGGAATACTTTTACCAAAATCTCTGGGTCTTGCTAAGAAACCTTTCTGCTTGGATCGAGCCGGGACACCTGTGGGCTTGCTGCCCTAGTTGATGGGGGCCGAGAGGCTTCGTGCTGTGCGTCCCTCATATCCACCAGCCCCCACCTTGTGTATGAGTCCTAGGCCGGCCTCACTCCTCTCTGCCTCATGAAAGCCAACACTGTTCAGCTGCCTGGCCTCACCACAGCTGTGCCCAGCCAGCAGAGGGGAGACAGGACCGACAGCCCCGAGTGTGGGCCAGAGCCAACCCCAATATGCCCAGCCCTCACCCAGGGAGGACTGAGCTGAGCATAGGAGGGTGAGAGACTGCACACGCCAGGATTAACATGATTTATTTAATTATCAGTCTTACAAGTTGCCAAGATTGGGCAAAGCCAGGACAGTAACTTAAATCCCAAACACTTCTGTTGAGTGTCAACTGATTAGCAAGGCCCTGTTACTAGTAGGAGAGGGTGTGGAGAGGGCACCTCTGGAAGCACAGCACATGGGGCAGTGTTGCAGATCCCCCCTCCCAGAGGCAACAGATGGGAGTGGCCCTTACCAGTCAGGGACCCACTCTATTGGCTCTTGGTACCCACCAAACCTCTTTAGTGGAGGCCCAGAGACCTCCAGAGGCACCACTGAGGCAAGGTGGGCAGGCTGACAGCAACCTGGAGTCCCACGTGCTGCCATGGCCACTGCCTTCCGCACAGGGAGCCATGCCACTGGCCAGGACAGCCGGCCCACCTCCTGAGGTAAGACCAGCAGCCAGCCTGTTTGTTCTGCTTTCCTCCCTAGTTATCAAGCTGTTACCTGGTTATGGTGTGGAGGAGGGGCAGGGACTCAGGACCAGAGGTGGGAACCCCTTCTCTACCCTGGTAAAGAGCTCCAGCCTTCCTGGGGCTCTGCTGATTAAGAAATGGGATCAAAGCCACCACTAGTTTTCCATGGTGATGGTCACCATGCCAGCCCCATGACCTTTTCCTTCCATCAGCAGGGTTTGCACAGCTTGGAGGTGTTCCTCATCGCTAGCCCAGCTCTGGACGGAGCAAGGCTGGGCTAACTGGTGCCAGAAGCGGGGCAGGGCGGGGGTTCTGGCCTCAGATCTGGTCTAGGTTCCTGAATAGGGCCTACCCATCCCCCTTGTATTGAAAGCTTCAGCATTAGAGGGGAAAAGGGCAGGCAGGGAGTGGCAGTTATCTTACAAGTTTTAAAAAAGTTACAGGTAGGTTAACTTTGAGTAAAAAAATCTTAAAGATCAAGTGGAGGGCATGTTTCCCTCTCCGCCCCTTCCCTTCTGAAGAGTGAGAGGCAGAGCAGTAAGAGCACTCATATGATGGTGCAAGACTGCAAGGCACCCCCCTTCCGGCTGCCATGCGTGGGCACAGGTTTGCCCTTCCCATAGTATCCCGTGAAGATGGCCTTGACCTCCATCTTCTTGGCCAAGCTCAACATCCAGCGCCCATTGCCCAAGGAGTAGAGCTTGCCCCGGCTCAGCTCGCCCACCTCCTCGCCTCGGCTGCCCCCCTTCTCCTGCCTCACAATATCTAAGAGGTCGATGCCCGTCTGCACAGGCTCCACGTCAGCCGCACAGCCAAGAGTGATGTGTGCACGGCTCCCCCGGGGTAGGCTGTCAGTGGGGGACACCTTGTCCACGTCACTCGGCCACAATGGCAGCTCCTGCTCACTCAACTCCACCCGGGCCCCAGCCGTCTTGGGCGTCACAAAGAGAGCAGAGATGGTCAGCGTGAAGGCCTTGCAGTAAGATTTCTTTACCACCTAGGGAAAGCAAGAGAGAGAGAGAGACAGCTGGCCTAGGGTGGGCCACATCTACAGGAGGGGATGTCTCAAAGGAGTGAGCACACCTGAGCAGAGGTCTATGTGAGGTACATCACCCACGCCTGCAGCACCCTGCCTGTCCATGGACGCCACTCAGGTGCAGGCTAGGAAAATAACAGTGGCCAGAGGCAGGACAGCAGGTTAAACCTGACTTCTAGCTTCAGAACCAGACTCCCGCACTTACTAGTTTCAGGGCTTAGAGCAGGTTGTTAACTCTGCGCCTTGGTTTATTCATCTGTAAATGAGGTACCACTGGGGCCTACCCCCAGAGAATTAGAGGAGGATCCAGTGAAGAGCTTAAACAGTGTCCAGCACATGGCAGGTACTACCATTATAACTACTCGGCTCACCTGGTGTTGGACAGACCTGGGGGGCGGGCAGAGGCAGGGCAGACATTTCCTGACCAAAACCTACTCTGCACCCTTCAGTCCCGCCTGCTGGTATCTGATTCTCTGAGAAAGCTCTCCCCCATCTGACCTTAAAAGCATCTATTTTTGTTCACAGTCCCCTGCCCCAACAGTGTGTGGCATGGAGTTAGGTGTTTAATAACTACTGCTAAGCGGATGAATAGAGGCGGCAGTTGCAAGTGTTAACGTATTCATTCATTGAACTCCGCTAGAGCCCTGGGAACACAGGAGTGAGCAAAACTGAAAACTCTGGATGCTTCTGTGTGTGTGGAGGGGTGGGGTGGGGGTCAGACTAGTGAACAAATAGGTAAAACGGCTGCCTTAGCCTAGGAGAGGGAAGCGGGAGGCGGGCAGGGGGCTGCAGCTGTGTGGTAGGGAAGGGTCTGGTCTTCCTAAGCCAGTATGTTTCACCATTGCGTGACACTGCCTCACTCTAAAGCAAGGCCAGGCCCCAGGCCCCTGGGGTACCAGACTCCAAGCCTTTAGAGCATAACGCAGGCTCAGAGAGGCCAGAACAGACACCTGCTGCCAACCAGTGGTCTCCGTGAATCTGCAGGAGAGCCACTCCGTCCAGGCCTGGGCAATGAGTACACAGGCCACACTGCCCGGCAGGCCGCTTGGCACAGGCAGCAGAGACCAGCCTGCCGAAGGGACAGCTGGAGGGAGGCCGTGTCTCCTGAGCACCTGTCCAGTGTTTGGCCCCTGCCTGGCACTTGGTACCATCTCTAGGAGATGCTGTGGCCCCCTTGCCCTCCCACCTCTGCCAGGTGTCCAGGGAAGGACTCACCTCCTGCTGGGCGTACTCATCGGCCCCAGCGGCCTTCCCATAGTCACAGAACTTGGTCGTGCAGTGCAGCATGCCTGGAGGTCTCTTGCCAAAGTAGGTGACCAGTTCGAGCTTCTCCCTGGGCTCATCCCCAGGGACAACTGTATGGGGGGAAGGGGACAGTCAGAGCACACCAAGACCACAGAGGCCTAGAGGAAAAACCTTGGACGTTAAGTTACACATCAACTCTTGAGCAATCCAGTACAATTCACTTACTTCTTGGTTGGTCTGTTTACATCTCTTTCCCAAACTCTAAGGCATTTGTATTTGTAACCCAGGGGCAGGCAGCATAGGGCACGGGAATCTGAGATGTACCCGTGTCAACATCTTAAAGGGGAAAAGCAAGTCATGAAAAGTGGGGTGGAAAGAAAACAGTGGGCTGGAAACCATGTGGTAGGGTGGAAAGAGCCAGAAAAGACAGTTAAGATCTCAGCCCTGCCACTTGCTAGCTGTTTGGGCTGGGGCAGGTGATTGACCCTTATCTGTCAGTTCAGTACGACAGCTGGGGTGTTCATTCACCCGTTTCCCCAGGCCCACTCTATTCATAGCTCCCCATTTCACGCAGTACCACAATAATACGCACCTTGCAGATCTGACGTGAATGAGAGCCTAGAAGGGCTAGGTGCCAGGAAGGGTCGTGAGGCACATGTGCTAACATTACTGCTGTGGCTGGTAGACCCGAGGAGGGTGGAGTATCTGTTACTTCATTTTCCAGACTCCAAGCTTTATGGCTGTCTTCGGGAGTCACTAGCTTTTTCCTGTATATTCCCAGAGCCCAGTCCCTGTGAGGGAACTTCCCTCACCCTGCACGGGGGAAGAAGGCCTCTACTCCGAGCAGGCCTTGTTCCTGGCCCGTGGTATCTTTCCTGCTATATCCCAGTCAGACAAAGATTCTAGTTTTTGATGGCAAAAGCAGCTCTGAGCATCAGCCCATCACTGGGACAGTGCCACCAGCAGCCCTGCCCTTAAGGGCTTTTCTGTCCAGCTGTGTACAAGTGCAGAGATGGCTCCTGACCAGGGTCTGCAGAGGCCACAGTTCCCTACAGTTGTTTTTTTTTTTACTTTATTATTCATTTATTTTATTTTAATTTGACCAGAGATGGACACAGAAAGAAAACAAGCCGCCAGGGCCTGGACTTGAACCACGGTCAGCCATGTGGGAGTCCAGTGCCCTTAACCACTACTCCACCTGCCGGCCCTCCTGCAGTTTGAGCTCTAGGAGTTGAAAACTCTCAGAGTTCAGGCCACCAAATTCTCATCCCAAAATTCTTTGAGAACTCATACAGGCAAATACCTACCTCTGAGTAATATGAACAAATACAAAGCTATTTCAAGTATAATTAAAAGTTGGGGGGAAACAAATGGTTAAAGACATGGATGATGAGCAGATGACAACTCCCTAGCAGGCCATCACTGTAGGAGAAGGAGGGCCACTGAGACCCTTCTGTGTCCCAAACCTACACTACCTCTGGAGCAGAAGCCCTTGCCAGGATAGAACATGCTGGAGTGGACAGAGGCCAGGGCCCAGCTGGCAAACCCCACATCCCTTCCGGACCTGTTTTCCCATCTGGAAAGTAAGGGGGTTTTAGACCAGATCGGACACTTGTGTCCTCTGGAGTGCACTGGGTAGCCCAAGATTTGGGAACCACCCCAGGGAAGTCTCAATAGTTGCAGTTTTTGGGGTTTTTTTTTTTT